TCAATTGCTGCTATGATGGCTTTGGTTGGTTGTTCTTTTTCACTGTACGGCCGCAGACACATTCTGACAGCACTTCAGACAGCAGCTTTGTGCCCCGCCAGCTGCTTGTTCCATGCCTACCATGGTGTTTTTGTACAGACAGCACTTCAGACAGCATTATGCTGTAGTCGGCAATCTTCCGTTTTGGTATAGAGTGGGACAGGGAGGGGGTGATGCTACTGTTACAGTAGCATCATGTAGTCGAACGGTGGGACGGACGTGCAGTTCAGTTTTTGGGCACGCATACGGTGCTGCAGGGATTTTTAGGTGTACCTCTTCGGGCTCTTGCATACCTTTTTCTCGTCAGATGTGTGCGTGTTCTTTAGATCCTCAGATGGCTCTAGCACTTTCGTGACCACGGGCTGAGAGTCTTTTGCTAGATTTTAGCATTTAGCAACTGACATACGGTTTAATGTGAAGACAAACAACAACAACAACTGGCCGCTGTCCGCTCTCGGATCCCTCTCCATTCCGTATGGACTAGACTGGAGTATGTACAATGTTATGGTATGTGTAGATTAATACAACCACGGGCTTTTCTGTACGCATGTAGTCTGTGGCATGCTTTCCTTCTTTCTTTCGCCGGATACTCCCGCCTCAAACGCCAACCGGGGAGTACTGCCAATTCACTCACGGAATACACACGCAGCACGGCTGCCAACCATTGTGAGTGCTACGTCAAACGAAACGATTTCACTGCCTTTCTTCTCACACACGCCCAAGATTCCAGGCATCATGTTCTTGCGACTGTGTGTCATCTGCGCGCCTGGCCTTGCCGCGGTCACTCCCGTCGTCGCCGACATTGAGTACTACTTGGTTGGCGTACGTATCAGGATTTCGTCCTGCTTTCCTCGCCCGGACGGACTGCGTCAACCTTGACTAGTAATTCAAGTGTCGTAGCCCTCGACTCCACCAGGTTTCTTTACCAGGGCAGACCTTACCCGCCTTGCCCTATCTTGGCTTCCCGTTCTTTTTCTACTTGATTTCCTTTTCTGATCGTACCGCATTTCCTGCTTTTTTCGACTTCATTTTCTTGTGTATGTGCAATTGCCTCCTCCTCGGTCTTGAGTCTACTTTGCACTTGCGTCTATATGAGTGATCTGCGCGCCTGGCCTTGCCGCGGCCACTCCCCTCGTCGCCGTCTTTGGGTACTACTTCGTGTAGGCGTATGTAGGATTTCGTTCTGCGTTCCTCGCCTGATGCAGGGACTGCCTTTCTTTTCCGTCTGTACCATCTGTCGATTCTTTTTTTGTGGTTTGCCGTTTGTATGCGGTATTCGTCGTGCTGCAGACACATACCGGGACGATCAAAAAAGAAATTCCACAACCTTCGCGTTAACACCGCCGGTGAACCCATCGGGGCTGCCCTTTCGGTCGTTCTCTCCCGTAGTTGTCCACCAGGGTATTTGCGGCGGTAAGCACTTCCCCGTCTACCCGTCAAATGTTCGCCTTACCGTTATTGCCGACGATGGACACCATGGTCACGGCCGACCGTGCCCTGTCTTTTTGCCCTGTGGGTTTTTAGTCCAAAACGGAGAATGGTGTTTCTTCCCTTCTTCCTCGTTCGCTTCTTTCATTTCACATCCATCCATAAATGGACTTGTCCATCATCCTCATGACCGCCGCCAACAACTACATCATCATCCTCGATCCCACACATACATACCCTCCCTGGGGAACAAGCGAAAGGGCTTCAGATGAGGCCGGGGCTACCCCCGGGCTATTGTTTTTGCGACAGCCTCCCCCATATATTGCGGTGAGACGTGTACAACACGTATTTCAGTGTATGTAGAGTACTCTACACTTTGCAAAGTGTTTGTATACAACCATCCAGGGTCAGCAGGGGGGGTAAGCACCGGGGCTTTTTCCTTTTTCATTTCTTTTCGTGCCCCAACTTCCTCCTGCGGTGCGCTGAGCTTTATTTATTTTGGCGAGAAGGATACAGCCGTCTCCCTCGTCAACGGTGCTAACGTCGAAAATTGGTATTTATTCTCACGAGCTTTTCAGCTTGTTCGCTTTCACCCGCAAATTTGTAATTTTTTCACCCCATGGGGGATTCAAACTCACGACTTGGCCACTATTACATGCAGCGGTTCGAGGTTACCACTAGACCACAGGGGCGACCGACCCCATCATTTTCCTTCCCTCGGCCTGCCCCCCTCCCTGCTGGGGTGGGCCGAGGTCCTGGAGTGTACTGAGACCTCGAAATACCACCCAACATAGACTGATACACAGTCCCTAGCACTGAGTTTGGCGGCCGGGAACTACTGCTATCGTGAGATCGGGGTAGCTCGTGACCTAGCCAACTTGGGTAGCTGCAAGAATGAGACGCCCCGCCTTGGACGAGAGCACGGTGAACACCGTGGGGGTAAGCACCTGAGAGGGGGGGGGGGCGGGGGTACNGGGGGGGGGGGGGGGGGGGGGGGGGGGGGGGGGGGGGGGGGGGGGGGGGCGGGTGTACTCATAGTCGTGCATTCAGTCGTTAGACCATTGATCTCGCACCCCTACAAAGCCGGGACGGAGCACGCCAGGTTCTCACCAGATCAGGCTCTGACATCACCAAGCACGAAGCACCGTGAAGTATTCGGCGAGTCGCATGAAGGGGGGCTGCATCCTGAGAAGGGTGTGTTGGGATGTAACCTCGTGATGGGTGTATCCCTGGATGTGGCAAGCATTGTGTAGAAACAGTGTGCAGAGGCTCACGTGTGACTGTTAAGTACACTTGTGTAAAGACCAGATTGATGGTTTGAAGTGGCTCTTAGTTGGCCGAAAGGTAAGGAAAAGAATAAGAGTGATCGAGAGGGGGCGAGCACCACAGGGGGCGAGCCTCCAAGCTATCACAGAAAGATGCACACACACGGGTCATTTCAACATCCCGCTTTCTAGAAATAGGCGGCTAGTCCGACCTCTAGAACGGATCTAGAAATGATATGCGTAAGTGCATAATCTACAGAATTCTCCATAGCTGTGTATAATCTACCGAATTCTCTTACGGTGATTACCTACGTGCTGTGCTTACAGCAGTACAAAAATCAATGACTGACATTGAATATACCAACA